CCCTGGTTTAGAGTTAAGCCAATTAGCCTTTCTCACGCCGCCATTTTTAATTGGAGTACTCCCTTTTCTAAATCTGAGATTGTACGCAAGTGAATAAGGGATTTACATATAATTATGAGTATAATTATTATAAGTTAATTTACAGTTAAATATTTGAAAAAATGTTTTTACATCGCTTTGATTTTTCACGTCGTTTTCAAAAAAGTTCCTCAAAAATGGCGAATTTGGTCTTACGTGAGAAAGGTTAATTAATTAAATCGGGTAAAAGTGAAACGAAAATATGATTCCTGGTACTCATTACGAATTCCTGTTGACCTGCTGTGCAGTAAAAAAGCATTTTTTTTCATGTTTGGACAGATTAATGCAAATGGAAATACGAAATGGGTAAAAATAACGAAATACTTGGAAAACCATTTCATTTCGTGGAGACCCTGACGTGTCGCATTGGCAAAGAAAAACCATCCACCGCCTTTTAACACTATATCCGGTCGTATTCTGCTTTTATTCAGGTAAGCAAAACGTTTCTGAATTCTGAGATAGATATCTCAATGTGTATGTATGCATAGTTAGCTTGTAGTAACAACACACCATGCACAACCTCAGTAAAAGTGAGAGTCAGTCACCCAAGGCCTTCAAAAGAGAGTGGAAATGAATGGATGTATTCGTTTCAATCAAAACGAAAATACTTCTGTGCTTAAAAGTCAAAACTTTCTATTTTATGTCTATTATTGGCTAAAAATTTGAAATATTCTGTGTTTTGTTTATTGTAACGTACAATGAAATTGTCCGCTGAATTAAGACAACACTCTTATATTTGGCCGTATCTTCCATATTCTTTATGCTAGAATTTCACTATTAGTGACTTTTATACAGTATAGAGAATTAAATAAACCTGTTGATATTTTCATTGCTCAACTGTGCATTTAATAGTCGTACGCTGCTATGTACGTAATATATTGCAGTTATCTACCACGCTGAGCGGAGCTAGGTTCACATGCACCTGCAGATTGCAGGCTATAGATTTAAGATTTTATTGCCTAAATCAAGTTGAACATATCCAATGCCGTACCTTGCGGAGAATTGGCACGAATTGCGAGAATTGCGTTCAAGACAAGCCAACTTATCTGAGCATAGGCAGATTGTACATGTTCAGTTGTTAGGAATATATTAACGAGGTAATCATATCTTAATATATGTATATGTATGCATAGTTAGCTTGTATACCATAAAAAATCTCAGACTCGAGTTATAACTGTCAGTGCGAGGGTCCCCACTCGGAGAAGAAAGAGAATCAATCTCTTATTTGTTTCATTGAAAACGAAAATAATTCCCTCTGTACTCAACAATTCATATATTATGGGCTGAAATTTATAAAGGATTAATTTTTTTGAGCGAAGAAACGACAGCTTTACGAAATTCTCTATAAGAGTTACTAATCTTTAAATAGGTCTTTAAATAGAGTATAGTTGATTTTATACTCCTTGTGAGCGCGTTGTCTAAATTATCTGGACAAATTCATACTCATTCTTTATGTATTTACGTACATCATATACATATATAATATACGGCGAGGGCAAGGTTTCCAAAAAATCGGTTCCTAGTTCAACAAAGCCAAAGCAAGCTTCTCAAAACCTGCTAATAAACTTGGAATATTCTGCTAATCAAAACTTGGAATTCCGTGCACACCAGCAACAAAACATGTCAAGGAAACGTGTTGACCGGTCGTACAAACGAGAAAGTAAATTTGTCAAGAAAACTTGTTGACTGTACACACGAGAAAGTAAACTTGTTAAGGAAAACTTGTTGACTGTACACACGAGAAGGTAAACTTGTCAAGGAAAACTTGTTGACTGTACACACGAGAAGGTAAACTTGTCTAAACTGTCAAGGAAAACTTGTTGACTGTACACACGAGAAAGTAAACTTGTCAAGGAAAACTTGTTGACTGTACACACGAGAAAGTAAACTTGTCAAGGAAAACTTGTTAACTGTACACACGAGAAGGTAAACTTGTCAAGGACAACTTGTTGACTGTACACACGAGAAAGTAAACTTGTCAAGGAAAACGTGTTGACTGTACACACGAGAAAGTAAACTTGTCAAGGAAAACTTGTTGACTGTACACACGAGAAGGTAAATTTGTCAAGGACAACTTGTTGACTGTACACACGAGAAGGTAAACTTGTCAAAGTAAACTTGTCAAGGAAAACTTGTTGACTGTACACACGAGAAGGTAAACTTGTCAAAGTAAACTTGTCAAGGAAAACTTGTTGACTGTACACACGAGAAAGTAAACTTGTCAAGGAAAACTTGTTGACTGTACACACGAGAAGGTAAACTTGTCAAGAAAAATTTGTTGACTGTACACACGAGAGGGTAAACTTGTCAAGGAAAGCTTACTCATTTGTATATGGGGCTTAATAGATTGCCTGTTCGATTCTGCTTGGATCAGTGTAGAGTAATTTGGACCAAGGAAAATTTGGAGACGTCATGTCATTATATATTATAAAATAACATGTATATAACGCGTGCTCTGATTGGTCGAAACCCGTGTTTGGATTAGGCCATCCAAACACGGAAATTTAAAGTGACAGTTTTTTAGTGACACTTGGGAATGTTGCTCTAGTTAAGAAAAGCACGCAAAATCACTCGCCTTCGGCTCGTGTTTTCGCGCGCTTTTCTTAACTCTCGCAACATTCCCGCGTGTTTGGATCAGGCCATCTAAACACGGAAACCATAAATTGTATATTTCAACACATAATTAATTCAACACATGTAAAACACAGGTAAACGTGGAGCGATATAGGAGTTCGTCGGAACCTCTCGCATTATGGAGCGAGACTGACTCAAATATGCTTATGCGCCGAACCCAAAATTCGCTTTTTGTCTTTATTTGTTTTCAATTTTATTTAGAACGCGCACCCTGCCCAGTCGTTCCCTAATCAATAACAATGTATTTTGTATGTCGTTTGAATCACGGTATATGTCCTAAATTTCAATTTCGTCTTTTCGTTTCTTAATTTCAGCGCAAATTTTGTGATGGCAGAATCATCTTCTGAAGATGGAAAAGCAGTTCAGGACACACCAAGCAATGTTCTTCAAGTTGGGTTAAAGGGTGGTGCCTATTCCTTCTTCATTAGCACTAGTAGTGTGTTCGTAGTAAAAGAAATATGTGGTGCTATAGTTGGGGTAACAAAGGAGTTAGGCGGTGCCAATGCAAATGCAGTGGAAATAACAAAAGAAGTATGCGGTACTGCAGTTACACTTGCTGCTCTTTACACCGGCTATAACCTGTTAAGACCAGTCATTGACGGAGTCGTTAAAAAATCCTTGGGTGGTGAAAGAGGGGATCAAGATGTTCGGGATATCAGACCAGGATCTCTACATGTTTTACTTCGTTGTTTCACCGATGAAAGATTTCTTGAAGTTTTGGACGACTATAAATCTGGAAGAATAAAAGAACGTTTGCAGAAAGAATTCTTGGAGGTTGGCATTGAAGTAGAAGGACTGAAGGTCGAGATTGAAAACATGGAAGAAGTAGAAAAAACAAGAGCGGTTATACACAAGACGTATGTAGAAATCAATATAAGGTGCATAAAAAAAGTCTTCACTTCAAATATTAATTTCGACAGGAAGAAAACGTTTAAGTTTATATTCATATTTAAAAGTTTAGCAATGTAACGATGGTTTATGTTTTAACACTTAAATTATATTGGTTAGCGAATTATACCATTTTAAGTGATTGGGAGATTTGAGTTACAGTAAAATCTATAAAATTGAAGAACTATATAAGAAAACAAAAACAAAAAATTAAAAACGGCTAGTCAAATCAGCGCAATTAATCCACTTACTAAGATCAATTATTGATTTTTCTTTGCGTTGTAGGAGGTCTTATTGTTATCCACTTGTAGAGTTTGAAGTGATGACAGAATTAGGTGCTGAAGATAAAGCAAAAAAGATGAAGAAAAAAGATTTGCTCGTCACTGATGAGACTGCGAAATTGTCCACAGGGAAGAACCAAGGTATTCACAAATTAGATCTTTACTAATTAGACATCAATCGATGGATCACGAGGAAAAAGCTTTCTGATGCAACAAATGAAAAATGTTCGTTTTTTAGTTTAATTTCTTTTGATATATTAATTCAAGTTTATTTCAGACCTATGGCGTATTTTATTCTTTAATTTTTAACTTTTAAATTAACACTACAATACTAAGGCTTCTTAACCAAAATTCATTTTATCCTTAAGGTTTCCAAATGAATATTTCAAAAAAGCATGGCAATTGGCTGACTGCTGCGGAACTAATTCGTTCGATCCAGAAACCAATTTTTACATACGTTAATGAAATCGTTAAAATTTTCCACGAAAAGCTGTGCAAAGATTTGCTCCACGCCAGCAAGTGCAATAGTCCTGACGACTGCAAAAAGAGAACTAAGCCTAGCGATTTATGTAAATCATGTAAATGCTGGTTTAAGAAGCTCGAGGCGTCGCATGAAAAGGGTAACAATCCCTCATGGTATAAAAACTGCAAAAGCCCCGAATGGTCTGAAGATCACTGGGAGGTGGCGAAATTCTTCATGCCTCCACTTGGATCTAACCCTAACCCTAACCCTAACCTTTCTTCGCTTCTCAACGTATTCGAATGGATGAAGGATGGGGCGTTTCTTGGCAAAGTTCGAGTCAGCGTGGACCTTGTCAGAAAACTTCGTTCCCAAGTGAGAAATACCTGGGCACAAGCACCACAACAAGAACTCAGCGACGACGAAAAGGCCGAAAGTTTCTCGATTGCCACCGACTTTCTTGAAGGTCTAGAGAAGGTATTTTCCCATGCAGAAAACGCACAGTGTTTGGAGCAAGTCAAACACTTGAAGATCAATGGAGTCACCAATGTCGTTGAATGTGAACTGCAAAGCTTGCTGTTACAACGCCACTTGTTGGACGACATTAAAGAAGAGATCACAACAATGGAAGTAGACAAAAGTGCTATTGAAGAACATGAACAAAAGCTGATGAAATTGGAATGTGCATTGAGTGAATGTTCCCAAAGAATGACTGATTTCGAAACTTTCAAAGACAACATTAATAAACAATTCGACAACTTCGCAGAACAATGGAAATCCTTTCGTGCAATTCCAGAGGATATTCATGAAATACGCAACAGCATTGGGCAGATTGGTAATGATCTCGACAAGATGAACGAACGACAGAAAGACGAACGAGAACCAACGAGTTGCTTGCCGGATAAGTTGCCAATGTTCACTGCTCGCAAAGCCGAGATCCAAAAAGTCGTCACTTTCCTGAAGGATGAAGGAAAGACCATTGTGTCTCTCCTTGGCGGACCTGGGTTTGGTAAGACTGCAATCGCAATCGAGGTGTCGCATCAGTTCAGTGAAGATGATAACATTCTAGTTGTTTTCTCTCAATTAACCACGGCAACCACTGTAGATGAAATGATGAGACGACTCTGCCTTGATGTTGGTGTCAACCATGAAGACGACCCAAAGCCATCATTGATCTTTTGTTTGAAAAATATTAAGAAGAAAGTCATTTTGGTTATGGACGACATCGACAACCTGCTTGAAGAAAAAACTCGTTCTTGTTTGGACGATTTCATCCGCATGCTCCGAAAGAATTCTAATTGTCAGATAGTCACGACCTCTAGATCGTCCTATTTAATTCCCGACCTCTCAATTGGTAATGTTGACGTTGAGGAGATGGATATAAAAGCATGTATGGAGCTTTTGAAAAAACAATGTCCAGATCAGGACGATGAATTTTTGCGACGTTTGGCCGAACTATGTGGTAATATACCTCTTGCTATGTGCATCGCAGGTTCCCAAGTGGACAACTTTGAAGATCCTGATAAACTACTACAGAACCTAGAAAAGCAACCACTTAAGACTTTGGAATGTTCCAAAAGTAACCAGTTCGTCCATCGAGCCATTGATTCGTCTTTTAAAATATTAACTGACGAACAGAAAAAAGCTTTTGTCCGTTTGGCAGTTTTCGAGGAAAGCTTCAGCGAAGAGGCCGCTACAGTCGTAATTGAGAAGGACGATTTAGATACTAAAAAACGTGTCTTAGATAATCTTGTTTCGCGAAGCTTGATCAAACAACCAACGAAGCAGCGATATTCCATTCATCTTTTGATCAAATATTTTTTAAGGAATGAGCTCAACGGCAAGAACAAAAGAGCAAAAAGAGCGCGTGCAGAAGTGTCACGTGCAAAAGTGTTGATGGTTGAATACTATCTGAACTTGGGGCACGAGCTAACCATAAACAGTTACTCCAAAGACGGATACAAAGCAAACAGAGAAGCTTTAAAGCAGGAAGCGCGCAATATTCAGAACGTCCTCAAAATTTGTTGTGAGCAGGAAGACCCCAAATCCTCCGACATCTCTGAATGCCTTACACACAGTGAAGTTTACACCACCTCAGCCAGATTCTTTTCACTCTTTGTTAGAACCATCATCCCTGGGTCCATCGTCGACGAGTTCCTACAACGATGCGCAAATCTGGCCGAAGAGAAGAAGCAACATGCAACCAAAATAAATTTTGACTGTTTGGTAGCAGACCAAGAACGCATGAAATCAATTGGTAAATCTGACGAGTATTTTAATTCAAAAATGGAAGAAATCAAGAGAGAGTTCGATACGCATTATGAAGATTTAAAGGAAAAAAAGTCGCTTTGTGCTCATTACTATTACCAGTACGGGAGATATCTGTCACGTAAGTCTGAAGGTGAAAAGGATGAAAAACGGTTAGATCCGCTGATTCAAGCGCGTGATGTGCAGGAAAAGGCATTGAAATTAAGGTTACAGGATACCCTAGAACGTAAAAATTTTGAATTTTTTTTTCTTTACATGTTCTTGTTGCTTTTGAGCATACCTGTCGTCTGGAAAAAAATGTAAATCAGTATCTTTAAAATTAAACAGGTTATTTAGTAAAACGC